TTTGGTCCATATTTTGTGTGGAGCATCATTCGGTAAAGAGGAACCAATTTCGGATAAACAGTGGGTGTGACCCACTGGGACCTGAGGGGCGGGGCCCAATAGGGGAAATAGAAGTAAAACCTTTATAATCCTTCTACCATAGGGATTAAGGGATTATCCTTATTTAGTCTTGAGCATCCTTTGGCAAAAGGGACTCAATTTCGTATAAACAGCGAGTGTGGGCCCCCTGGGGGCAGATTGGCAGGGCCCATTAGCGAAAACATAGCAAATTCTTCACAACCTTCCTATTCTGTACAAATGACAGGATTTTGTCCAAATTTAGTATGAAGCATCCCTGGGTGAAGTGGAACCAATTTTGTCTAAACGGTGCATCTAACCCCCATGGAAGCAGAGATGTGGGGCCCAATAAGGGAATTAGAGGTAAAACCTTTAAAATCCTTCTTCTACCATATGGATTAAGGGATTTTATCCTAATTTAGTCTGGAGCATCCTTGGGCCAATGGGACTCAATTTTGTATAAGCAGTGGGTGTGGTCTCCCAGGGGGCAGAGGGATGGGGCCTAATAGGGGAAATTGAGGTAAAACCATTAAAATCCTTCTTCGACCATCGGGATTAGGGGATTTTATCATTCTGTAGCATCCTTGGGTGAAGTGGAACCAATTTTGTGTAAACGGTGTGTCTAACCGCCATGGAAGCAGAGAGGCGGGGCCCAATAGGGGAATTAGAGGTAAAACCATTAAAATCCTTCTTCTACCATAGGGATTAAGGGATTTTATCCTAATTTAGTCTGGAGCATCCTTAGGCCAAGGGGACTCAATTTTGTATAAGCAGTGGGTGTGGTCTCCCAGGGGGCAAAAGGACGGGGCCCAATAGGGGAAATAGAGGTAAAACCTTTAAAATCCTTCTTCGACCATCGGGATTAAGGGATTTTATCCTTGGGCCAAGGGGACTTAATTTTGTATAAACCGTGGGTATGACCCCCCCTAGAGGCATAGGGATGGGGCTCTGTTTGAAGTTTGTTCTCGTTATATCTCAAGTGCTGGATGGATCTTTCTGAAATTTCTTATGTATTTACAGCACCTACCATTGAGTGCTATATCTTTACTTCGTACCAATTATTTTAAACACATCCAGGTGAGCGATACAGGCCCCCAGGCCTCTTGTTAAACCATTATAGTACTCCAACCCTTCCACACATGTGGAAGGAGGCGTTACCAAACATAATCCAATATGAAGAGTACTCTCCCTTTTTATACGCCCGTTGAAGACGTAATCAAGTGAGCGGGCGGGCGGGCG